TATATATATATATATATATATCATTTTCCTGATGGTCTGCTCAGGTGTAGAAACATTGAGTCTTCTGTCAAGCTGGTGTATATCAGGTGAAATAAGTAGTCTTGTCTATGGGCAGATGTTCATTTTATCGAGATAAAATAAAAATTAGAAACTGTAGAGACAGGTGCCAAAAATAGTAAATGGCATAGCAGAGCTCTTATGTCAGAAGTAGTTGCAGAGATGGGCGTAACTGTCTCCTGCACCAGTTTGAGCCCATGGGTGTGCTTTGCCAGGTTTCTATTCTGGTGTGCTTTTGGGTACTTTGTAATGTCATTGTCCATTAATTTTGCATTCAAGTGTTGAAATTAAAACTCCTTTAAACTGCTTCAGCTCAGGTAGATACTATTTATGTAGAGTTGAGCAATCCATGCCCTTTCTCCTGAAAGATTTCAAATTGACCATTTCCCATGCGTGGCATAGGATGAGACCAGTTATTCTTTGCAGGGGTCTCTGTCCTGCAAAAAGCTCAGCTTTGTTTTTACCGTAGGGCATACGAAGTCGGGTTGGATTGAAAAGGCTTTTGTTTTGTTTTAAATGCGGCGGGGAGGGAGAGAACTTCTGAATGTCCCTGTCCTCAGCCGTGCTGGTTTGTACTTAGTGTACCTGAGGAAGGACTTGGGAGCTAGAGGTGTCTCGGTACCCTCTCTCACTGCTGCCCCATCTTGGCTTTGTCAGGGCTCATCATCGCTCCAAGTCACGTTGACTGAAGCTCCCATAAACCATACCTCTGGCATCCAAGTTTCTTACCAAAGTTTCATGTTTCCAACAAATCCTCTTTGCTCATCACATGCTGCGTGCTCTGAGCAGTGGGATGGGTACAGAACCTGGCACGTTAAATACCCCTCCGTGATGAGTACATCTATTTTGCCCTTGAGGGCTGAGCAGAGGGTTGCAGCCAGGCTTGTCCCTCTCAGGCGGCAGTGGCTGGGGTTGGCCGTGGGCTGGACCGTGGGGAGCGAGAGCCCTCTTGTGGGGTAGAGTGTTTCTGAAGGACCAGGGAGGGCTTACGTGGGATTTGAGGTGCAGAGGGTAGCGCTTGCGAGAATTGTTGGTTGCAGCTTTCCTGTCCTCCTGTGACCGGGTCGATCCAGAGATTAATTTCACCCTTAACTTGCATGATTTTTGGTTAATGAGTAGGGTAAATTGCACTTCAAGTAGGATGACAGAAGCTGTAGGTACATCTCATGAAGATAAGAATCTGAAAAGAGGGCGAATCTGACAGCAGACTGACTGTGTTGATCTGTATTATTTTAGGTAGCGTAGCAATGCTGTCAGTGGCTTACACAGCTTTCTTTGCACAGTGAAAGCATCTAATTCTAGTATCATTTAACAGCTCTTTTTAAAATAAGAACCGCGTGGTTTTGTTTCATAGCTATCCGATTACAGATTTCTCTCTTTCTAGGGCAAGAGGAACACTGGTTTGAG